GATGCCACCAGACAAGTCCAAATAGGCCGAGTGGAAATTCTGCTACATGTTCCAGCACATCTGGAGGACACCAAGTAGGAAGGCTGAGCCAGCTATTTCCTGAATCTGCAGAAATTTAAAGCACGAGTCGAAAAATACAACAGGACAAGAGGTTTGGGGGGGGATGTGGTTAAAAGACAGGCTGGTGGGGGGGAGGCATTGGGTTGGGTGTCCATCAGCTGGGACTGGGAGTTACTGAAGGGTAATGAGAAGTAATTACTCATAAGCGCCCAAGGGAAGCTGCTTCACACACTGAAATGCGAGGCAATTATGAAGCTGAGGTAAACCAGGCCTCAGCCTGGAAATCCTGGAACGCTGACAAAAGAAAAATGCTGACTTCAGACAGGCATGCTCTGAGCTGAATTCCTTCCTTGCTATTCCTTTTTCTTTCCTTTTCTTCTCTACCACCAGCCACGCTATCTGCTGAATTTCTCTTTTTTTTCTGTCTCATTGCTTTTCCTTCCCAGTGATCCATTAACCTGTTCTGCTTTGCTCTTCCATCCATTACTTTGCCAACTTTCTGTTTCCCTCCAGCCTGCTCAAATCTGTTCTCGTTCCTTCTTCCCTTCTCTTTCTTCTTCTCCTCTGCTAATATTTTTTCTTTCTGCACAACAGCCATTTAATATCTCTGAATCGCTTTTTGCTTTTCGGGGTCTTCGTTCTCTTCTCCATCTTTTCTCCATTGGTTTCAAGAGGAAAAAAGCCACTGAAATGCAGAAATTTTAACACGTTTTCCCATTAAAGCATTGGCCCACTTAGTGCTTTTGTATTCAATTTTGTTCCAAAACTTTTTTTTTAAAAAAAGTTTGAAGCGCCATGCTTCTTTTTATGCTCTGCACACATGCCTTTTTCCCCCTTTTGTTCAGTCATGTCCAATTCTCAGAGACTGCCTGGACAGGTCCCTGCAGTTTTCTTGGCAGTTTTTTTTTAGAAGTGGTTTGCCATTGCCTCCTTCCTAGGGCTGAGACAGAATGTCTGGCTTTGTGCCCAAGAAGGACTAGAACTCACAGCCTCCCAGTTTCTAGCCTGGTTTCTTAACATAGTAAACCTCAGTTAATCACATATGAAAGAGTGAAATAAGTTTCAGCTCTGTTTTTCCATCAGTCAGCTCTGCCTGGCTAAAATGTTATTTTAATATTCCCTGTTGTTTTTCCCCGCCTCCTCCCCCCCCTAACTCTGTCCTTCTCCTCCTCTGCCCCCTGCTACTGTGGTCCCCACTTCCTCCAGTGCAATGCTGCAGAGAACTGGCATATGCTGAAGGACAAGATCCTGCTTCAACACGCCTTAAACATCCCCCCATCCTCACTGCCTTCCAGAGAGTGGCTGAGGATGACCACGAAGGACCCTGGAACCTCTCTTGCAGTGGCTTAAGTGGTGGCTCAAAGAAAGAAATGTTGGGGCAGAGTCGGTCAACTTGGTCCAAACTAGCTGACACTATAAAGAGCACCGCCGCCCAAGATGGCAACAGTCTGGAGATTTCTCACCTGGACACTTGTCTCTACCATGTCTACAGGCAACCTTCCTGGCTACACTTTTCAGTCACAAGGTACAGTGTTACTGGCCCAAAACACAAAGTGCTATCATGGTTCATGACAGTGATGGCGAACCTTTTAGAGACCGAGTGCCCAAAAACTGGCCCTGCCCCTGCTCCACCCCCTGCCCCACTCCCGCTCCACCCCACCCTGCCTGCCCGCAGGGCCACTCACCGCCTCCAGGGCCTGCCACAGATCGCCCAGGCAGCCCAGCAGCACCATGGTGGCCACGCCCTCTGCCCACACCCTGCAGCATCAACTGTGCGCGTTGGGCCGTGAGGGCAGAGTCTTGTCTACGCTGCCTGGCTGCCACGTCCTTGGCTGCACTGCTCCGCATGGGCCACACTCAGAGGCGACTCTCCTCCAGGGAGGCTTCTGGTGAGGAGGGGGTCGCAAGCGGAGGCAAGGCTGGGGCAACGGCACATGTGCCCACAGAGAGGGCTCTGAGTGCCGCCTCTGGCACCCGTGCCATAGGTTCGCCACCACTGGTTCATGATCTTTGAAATCTTGTATTTCTAATCCTTAAGCCAAGGCAGGGTGGGCAGTATATGGCTCACCGCCCCACAGGACCTTGAGTCTTGTTTCTGCAAAGGTCACCCTGCTAACATTCAACTGCTAGCCGTTAACCTTGCATTGGTAGTGCATGTTTCACCATTATTCTGTGAAAATAAATCCTAAAATAGAACAGGTAGGTGAACGTTCCAAAGGAATTATCTGGAGCGATAGGGCACAAAAGAAGAAATACTGCACAATCTATCAGATAATTTTAATCTTTCCCTTAATCAAGGTGCACATCTTTATTATCAGAACACTAGTGCCAAATCTCTGATAAAAAAATAAAATACTGTTATGCTTCTATGCACACAAACAGTCCAAAAAACCTGGATGGGAAAAAATTACAACTTTATTTTCACTAACTTGTCCATCTTTTAAATTTATTTATTGCCTTGTTATTGAGTTAACGGATTAATAAAGAAGCATATATATTCCTATATTCTTATATTTGTTATTTTTAAATCTTTCTGAAAAATAAAGTTGAGTTGTTGTTATAACTGTTCAGTTGTTTCCGACTCTTGGCGACGTTATAGGCAAAGGCTCTCCATGCTACCCTGTCAAGCACAGCATCTTTCAGTTGCTGGATGTTGATCTTTGTATTAGTTTTGATGTTATCAAGCCGGCATGGTCTTTGCTTGCCCCTTCTTGTTCCATTAACCATTCCTAACACCACTGACTTCTCCAATGAATTTGCATGCGTAACATGACCCAAGTAAATCAGATGTAGTTTTGTGACTTTGGCTTCTAGTGAAGTGACTGGTTTTATATTAATTCAGCACCTCTCTGTTAGTTACTCTGGCTGTCCATGGTGTACACAATAATTTATACCACCACCATAATTCAACCTTGAGTACAGATAGTCCTTGACTTACAACAGTTCATTGAGTGACTGTTCAAAGTTACAACAATCCTGAAAAAAGTGGCTTAGGATTGTTTCTCACACTTATGAACATTGCAGCATCCCCAAAGCCATGTGATCAAAATTCAGACATTTGGCAACTGGCATGTATTTATGACGGTTGCAATGTCCCAGAGTCATGTGATCACATTTTATGACCTTCTGACAAGCAAAGTCAACGGGAAAGCCAGATGCACTTAACAACTATGTTACTAACTTAATAGCTGCAGTGATTCACTTAACAGCTGTGGCCAGATGGGTCGTAAGATCGGGCAAAATTCACTTAACCGCTGTTCCGCCTAGCAACAGAAACTTGGGCTCAATTGTCAATTGCCTGTATAACTAGTTTTCTCTGAAATCCAATGTGTAACTACTGTATATATTTTATTTTACGCATCTAAGCACATTTTTTTCTGAGATCAGATACATAGGTCTTATCAAACGCTCAAAAGGGTCCAAGGCACTAAAACAATGGTGGCGAACCTATGGCACGCGTGCCGGAGGTGGCACTCAGAGCCCTCTCTGTGGGCACACGTGCCATTGCCCCAGCCCCACCTCCCGCCACGGCCCCCACCTCTCCAGCAGCCCCCCAGAGGAGAGTAGCCCCCGAGCATGGCCCATGCGGAGCAGCGAAGCCAAGTACATGGCAGCCAGACAGCGTAGAAAAGACTCTGCCCTCATGCCCCATCACACAAAGTTGATGCTGTGGGGCGCGGGCAGAGGGTGTGGCCGCCATGGCACTGCTGGGCTGCCTGGGCGATCTGCGGCGGGCCCTGGAGGTGGTGAGTGGCCCTGCGGGCAGGTGGGGTAGGGGCGGGGCAGGGGGTGGAGCGAGGGAGGGGCCAGTTTTTGGGCACTCGGTCTCTAAAAGGTTCGCCATCACTGCACTAAAAGGTTAAAAACCCTGATTTAAAGACCACCCTCCTTAGTTACTCTTGCATGTCCTCTTCTGCCTTCACAGAAGAATTTCTCTCCAACCTCAACCACTACGAGATAGCCTTCCCCATCCAGGTGGATCAGAATGGTGACTTCCTCAGTTTTGACATAAAAAGCCATCGGAAATGGAGGTCCCGCCGGAGTGCAGGCCACCCCTCCTATGACATGCCTGAACAGCATGTCTTCTACAAGGTCTCTGCCCACCGGACCCAGTTCCTCCTCAACTTGACGTTGCATACCCACTTGCTGGCAAGGCGCTTCCGGGTGGAGTATTGGAAAAGAGGTGGAGTAGACTATCAACATGAGTTCCATGAAGACTGCCACTATGCTGGTCATTTACAAGATGAGTATCTGAACTCAAAAGTTGCTATCAGTAATTGTAACGGTCTGGTAAGTGTCTTGTTTTCTTCCTAAATCTGGTGGGATTAACAAAACAACAATGCGCTGGTCATTTTGACATTTTTGCCACGCCGCAAAAGACATGCTGAATCACTTCAAAGCAGCTGGCTCTGATCAAATGGAAGAAATTGTAGTTCATTACAAACGTAACCTTACAGGTAGTCCTTGACTTACATGGATTCATTGAGCAACTGTTCTTAGTTACAACAGCACTGAATAAAGTGACTTACAACCAGTCCTCACACTGAACAACTGTCGCAACGTCCCCATGGGCATGGGATCAAAATTTAGGCACTCGGTAACCAGCATCTATTCACTTAACAACTGTTGCAAGAAAGGTCGTAAAATGGGGCAAAACTCACTTAACTGTCTTGCTTTGGGGCCATAAGTCAAGGATTATCTGTAAAAAAGTGATTTGCCTATGGGAAGGGGGGAGTGTGATTAAATTCTTTCTTCTCCCCAAAACATCTGCAAGCAAGCTGCAATTGTGATGGCTATTTGCAAACCACAAGAACCACAAGTAGGGCAGGAAATAGCCGCTGGGAAGGCAAAACCTTTGCTAGAAGAAAAAGGTCAAAGATAACGCTGCCAGATTCCTTCTGCAAAAATCCAGCTGATCACCAGATGACAGAATAACAGGGTTGGAAGGGACCTTGGAGGTCTTCTAGTCCAACCCCCTGCTCAGGCAGGAAACTATACCATTTCAGACAAATGGTTGTCCAGTCTCTTCTTAAAAACTTCCAGTGTTGGACAGTGGTGGGATTCAACCAGTTCGCACCAGTTCGGCAGAACCGGTAGCTAATTTTTTGTTGCCCAGGCCCAGAATGGACCTCCGGAAGCGGCATCCACACAGAGAACCAGTTGTTCACATATTTGAATCCCACCACTGGTGTTGGAGCATTCACCGCTTCTGGAGGCAGGTTGTTCCACTGGTTAATTGTTCTAACTGTCAGGACGTTTCTCCTTAGTTCTAGGTTGCTTCTCTCCTTGATCAGTTTCCACCCGTTGCTTCTTGCCCTGCCTTCAGGTGCTTTGGAAAATAGCTTGACTCCCTCTTCTTTGTGGCAGCCCCTGAGATACTGGAACACTGCTATCCTGTCCCCCCTCATCCTTTTCATTAAAAGATGACAGCAAAGAGTTAGTTTTCTCCATCTCTTTGCCGCCCTCTGGCCGCAATCCATATTTTTGCCTCCCCAGATCTGGTAACAACAGTGACCTCTCTCCTTCCTCTTAGACTTCAGGCTGCTCAATTGCTGCACCATCAAAGCAAATGCCTGCCGAGTCCTCGTTTTTAACATTGCTCAAACTGCTTCGTTGCCAAACAGCTTCTCCCATTAGGAAGTTTCTTCTCATGTTTAGCTAAAATGCACTGGATTGCCAAATCCCACCCATTTGTTTAAATTCCTAATGCAGTGGTTCCATTTCGGAAATGAGGCCAGGTAATTTGAAGAGAATTTTATAAGCGTCCCTCGGAGCCTCTGTTCTTTACTTTCCCCCCTCCCTCCCGTACCACAAACACACATGCCCCAAACTGCAGCACTCCACGCCAAGAGTTTTCTTCCCCCTTCTCAGCTGCCTTCATCGACTGATCCTTGAGTTTCTGGCAACTTCCCGCCAAACTATCCTCATACCACCTCGCTTGTGTTTGGAATGATGGCCCCTGGCCAAAAGCTACAAAGCTTTCATAGGAAGCGAGAAACCACGGCTGGCCCATCACACCCCCTTGCAGGGCGGCTGAAGTTGAATGCTTAGCTGCAGGCACACAAGAGCGATTCAGGGTTTGTTGTGGTGAGGCTGGCAGAAGCTGGGGGTTTGAAAAGAGCAGCTGCTAAATTTCTTAAGAACTGCTTTTAGAGGGGGGGGGGAAAGTAACACCCCTGCTATCCTCTTAGACTTTGTTGTCGTAGTTTTTGTTTTTCTGCAATTCTCTCAAGTTAAGCCGAAGCTATGGAAATTTCTAAGAGACGAGGAATGTATAAGAGCCTTTGATATAGCAATAGCCCTTAGACTTATATACTGCTTCACAGTGTTTTTGCAGCCTTCTCTAAGCAGTTTACAGAGTCAGCATATAATAATAATAATAATAATAATAATAATAATAATAATAATAATAATAATAATAATAATAATAATAATAATAATAATAATAATAATAATAATAATAATAATAATAATAATAAAGTTGGAAGGGACCTTGGAGGTCATCGAGTCCAACCCCCTGCTCAGGCAGGAAACCCTACACCATTTCAGACAAATGGCTGTCCA